CACACACACACACACAAAGCTCCCACAGCTATGGAGTTAATAAACACTTCATTAAAGACTTACCAAGTTAAGAGCCAAACGTATATTGCATTTTTAAGGTTTTGTATGTTTTGTAGCCGGAGTAAAAAAAAAAATAACACACAGGAAACATTACACCTAATACCTTTGATTATGTCCTTTTATTGTGTTATTAAGCTGTTTTTGCAAATCCAAATGTACAGACCCTTTGACCTTGCAACAACTAGGTCTTACAGCCACTTTGCTCTATTTAATTGGCCCTCCATTCTCTTCCAACCACCCTCCATTAGTTTACATCCGATTACGCCCGGCCCTCAGCCCTAGCTCTCTGTGTGGTTACTGTCCAGGCTAGGATTGGTAAGTATAATGACATGATGCACTTTTTACCTTTAGATCCCTTGAGCCTGTCGCCACAGAGGTCCATTAATTTCTAATCAGTCAATTTAGGCTTGTGACTGAAGCTGTATTGTAGGCTAGGAAGAATAGACATCTTCATCATAGCTGTTTGAATCATTTAGGTTGTGGGTGGTGCAGCCTAAATAGCTCCTCGAGCCGAGTGATTGAAAAAACGCTGTTTGTGTTCCCAGGGCACAGGGTTTAAATACCTGTATTTATTTGCCATTTTTATCCCCGATTCTAAAGCTCAGTTTGAAATGTTGTTTTCAAAATGTATTTCCCGCTCAAATTGTGATTTTTCCCAGTGATTTGTATTGTATATTCCCTCGGAAACTCCACTAAAATGTGAACCAAAAGTGCAATAAGGGCTGAGAAGATGAGCATATTGTGATCCAACCATTTGAAAATGGCTACATTGGCCAGAAAAAGACCATTAAAGACCTTGTTAAATGTAACCCTTACATGGTCAAGCTAATGAGGAGTTTTGTATCTTGTGCATATTCAGCAGTCACACTGTACATTCCTGCTCTGAGGGATTCCTTTCTGTCATTGGTTTATTACAATCGCAATGCAGTTCTTAATATTTCTCACCAGATTGCAGCTAGAATAAAGCAATAATAAATCTGTCTGTATAAGGGTTGTTCCACTCCTTCTAACCTCTGAGTCTATCCAACCCATCAATCTCCTCAGGTTAATCTTTATTGGGTAAGCAACACACAGGCTGATGCACTCTAAAGCTTTAATGTGCTGCTGCTCTGATGGCCTCACAGCATTTCTATCAGTATTCAGTTATTTCCTTCCACCCTGTTGGAGATAAGGCAAAACTATTTGTTTGTTTGTAATTTTTCAAGGTATTCAAGTTCTTGTTGTGTTGCCCCATACCTGTACTATGTACACACACAGACACAGTAATTGCTGATCAAGAATATCTACCACTATCAAGCACGTTTTTTAATGTTTCACCAAAGGGTTTTTGCAACACTGATAAGCAGAGTTATAAAACATCTTAAGTTTTATTAGGTGCATTACTGCTACAGTCCATTCTCCCTATCATGGATCAATAAAATGAAAATAATATTTTAACAATAAAAGAAACAAACAAGTATATATATATGTATATTATTTGTGTAAAGTCAAATGAACCTTTTAAAATTTTCCTATATTCAAGCTAAAGATGCACAGTACCAAGAAATAAAGCACCAAAGATCAGTTATTATATTGCTGAAAATAAGTTCTGTAAGAGCACAATTTGATGTAAATCAGTCCATCCTCAACACAAACTGCATGCGCAGCAGACAACAGCCTCTTCTTTTTCTGACACAGCCACACTACATATACCTATGCTAGATGTATGTGGGCGTACAGACAGGCGCTCAGCTCACAAATGCATCTGAAAGCATCAATATCACATTTCCTGTGGTCTTTATTTCCAAGCAAAAGCACAAAGTTGAACCCTTTTTGACTTATATGCCATCTTCTGAAGCAATTCTCTCCCAACAGACATTTGTTCTTTGCAATGCTGAAAGACTTGGTGTGATTATAGTTTCGAATAGACACCAATACTGTTACATTTTCAGTTCCCTTTCTGAACTTAATGCAGTTTAATGGTATCCTGTCACAGAAGATTGCTTGCAGTGGTCTGATTAACAATAAATATTAAGAAAACTATTATATTTCATATTATTATGTATTTATTGCTAAAAAAAACATTTGTAAAACAAGGACAAAAATCTTCTACTCAAACAGGTGTATAGTTGACTTGAATAGGTAATGATAAATAATTTAACAGCTGTTTTTATGGACTACTATGAGCAACAATTACTGTTATCGTCACATGATTATTGCGTAAAAAAAGGTCCCGAAGTACCAACCAGTCCCAGTCTGTATCACTGTATTCTGTGTATTCTCAAAAGAAGTCAGTATTCACATTGTTATAACCAAGTCTTCTATGTGGTTAACTTACAATGCAAAAGAGAAGCCAAACAAATTGAATTCAAATATCCGACGGAGCTGCAATTTTTGCCCTGTTGCAACACATTTGAGTCAATGAAAATAAAATCACTTACTCAAGAATGTTCCTTAAAAATGGTACAAGCAAATTAAAGTTTTAGCTTTCTCAATTATAATGACTATAGTATCATGGAATAAGTAGTTATCTGCTTACAAAAGAAAGGATAAGTTAAGGTTTTAGTTCAAATTAATCCAAACAATTCTCAATTTACTGACTTGATATTTACCTTTATCATAAATATATTCTTATTAATTCTTATTAATTGACTTGTAAAATGTTTATCATATTATTATGTGACAGTCACATGACTTGACTGAACTTTCTCCAGTGCAGACCCACCCGAGTCTAATTCAGGTTACCTGCGTCTCTTATCTTCGCAGATGACCTTTGAAGGGAGAAGATAAAGAAAACAAATTGTGTGGGAGGTTGTAGATGTGGTTTGTGATATTATGTTCTTGTAAAGAAACTTATGAAGGAAAGAAAAAATTACATCTGCCCCCACACTGGTCCTGTTTGAGAGGTGTCACTCTTTCAAGGATTGGGGTTTGCACAAACTGCAGAAATGCAAAGCGGCACCTTGGCAACACACGCAGCGTTCACTAAATGTCAACAAATATCAAATTGCACACAGTGCTGTATCAGAATGTCGGCCACTTAGGCAACCACACTGTTTTGTAGAAATACATTTATTTTTTATATACATTCTCAAATATTTGTAAGTAAAACCTTCTGTAATTTATGTCATTTATTTGTTATTTTATCTATTAATTAATCAATACGTTTAATTTATTTTGAAACGTGAAAGAAATATTGCAGACTTGTAAGACTGCAAAACCCTGCTACCACAGTTCTGATTAGGAGTTCAGATGACTTGAAATCTTCCTTGTTGATTTATGCTGCCCTCTTTTGTTCAGGCTGTGAAACTGAATATCGACAACAGCAAGTCTTTATTTTGCAAATGATGAGGCTGATTAAATAAAAAAAACTAGCACCTGTCTATTAACTAGACCTTTACATATAAGTAACCAGTATATGCCCAGTTCAGTTTTTTCTTCCTTTGTTAGGAGACAGAAATCTAAGACCCCAGTTTCTAGAAACTCCGGCTGACACAGCACTGGTTTGTCCTGCATGTGACAGAGATTCTATTACTAAAAGTGTCTGTGATGTTCTGAAGCTACAGTAAATCAATCAGTGAGCTGATTTCATTCAGCACATGGGAAGGGTAGCTGATGTACAATCAATGCTAGATGTGACAGCAGCACTGATGCAGACAGCAAAACAGATTTTTTTTTTCTGTGCTGGATATAAATGCAATTGTCCTTTGCAGAAAAGAATTTGAATGCAAAACAAAATATGTATGAACCAAAATAAATGAAAACATTCAGGCAACTGGCAAACATCCTCTTTTTTATTAGCTTACTCTCTCTGTGGCAAAGCAGCAACACTGGATTATCCCCCTAAGAACCCTGCAGGCATACAAACATGTGCCTCTCTTTTGCCTTGAAGATCACATCCTCACAAGTGTAGACTACATACTATATTAAGATGCCTAGTCCTATAACAATAATCAAGCTAAATGTAGATCTGCTTTGATTGGCAATACAATTATCAGATGAATACAAGTGCATTTACAGGGCCTTGGGCTTGGTGTATGCTGAAGAGGATTGACCAGAACTCAGAATCATGTGGACAGTTATTGACAGTCTCTGTTGTGTCAATGACAGTGCTCTTTCTCACCCTTCACTAATCTATTACAATCTCTGACATCGCTGTACTGCAGGCAGTGCTGATTCACTAGGGCAGTGATCAGCTGATTGATTTACCATTTCGAACGGGGATTCAATGCACAAGACTTCACACAGTGATCGGGTTAGAGAGAGGACACTCGTCTGGGGACGGTCAGTTGGTTTACTGTTCAAAACTAACATAAAAATAACAATAACAACAATAATATTTATATAGAAAAATAATTCTACCTTGTAAACTTCACATTATTATTGGCAAAATACTATATGTGAGAAACTTTTTCTCAGGGAACATTAAATTAAAATGATTAAATCTTTTCTTAACAAAAAGGCTTTCAAAACTGTATCTGCTCACGTCATTTAAAATAGATTTATTGCATTTGTGTTGAATTAATGTATTCATACTTGAGGATATATATATATATATATTTAATTTGTGTTTATATCTGCACATTTGCTGCTGACTTTGAATAAAATGAGATATCTAGACGGTGCGTTTCTACAGACGTCATCACTCAACGCCCCCCCGTGACATCATCAACATTCG